GTTCAGCAGAAGATGTTACATGCAGGGTTTTCTCTCCAGGACCATAGGACCCTGTTTGACAAATAAAGCTGCTGGGAAGACAGGTTTATCTCAAAGAATGGTTCAAGGACATCTTTGCCAACAGACATTTTAGTGAGGAGGGTATTAAAAAGGTGACTGGCACTTTCCGTGCTGGAACATTTAAAAATGCAATGGTCCAAACATTCATGTTACAAATATCTACACTAGTATCCCTTGTAGTTTAGCAGTCTATGTTTCTTAATGCCTTGCTTTAGGTTTTCTATCTTCAAGAAAGATAGTCAGGCTAGAACCTTTGATATTGAAACAATGCATGTAGACTGGGTTTAGTGTGAGAAAGCTCATGTACACTCAACTGAAATGAATCATGTATTTCAGCTGCATGAAGGGTTAGTACAATACTTAGCTTACTCCCATGTTTTTCCTGGGAGCACAGTTGCATGAAGATATTTCAGATTTTAGTTTACTTATTATCTTGAATATGGGCGTAAAGGCTACATTTAAATACACAAAATGGAATCAACAATAAAGATAGCTGGTTAATCAGGGAAAATGATTAGCAGTGAAAGCCAAATTAAACAAATTTAGTTCAGGACATTAATGATGTACAATAATTTTATTATACTTCCACGTTTTGAAAAATTTATTCTGCTATCAAATATCCAAGTGAGTGGCAAAATAAAGCTTATTGGAACTTAGGACAAGTGGGGACACCCTAGGTTATTGATGCACACAATGCAACGGAGTGACAAAAAACTAATCTGGAAAAGACAGTCTGGTGTTCCCTGGTTTGACCTTAACAATGCTTCAACCTGAATGGCACTGCTTGTTTTTTGTTGTATCTTCAAGTGGAAAAAAATGTTTCATTTCAGGAAGAAAGCCTTTGGGAAAAATAATGTGTTTGTAACCAAAAATCTATTCCCTGCATGATAGTTTTGTCATTAATGTTTAGTAATGTATGCTCTCAAATGTAAGGACTAATCATTATTGAAATTTAACAGCATGACTAGCAATGCTGCTAAATTAAAATAACTGTGAAATTAACACAAGAATTACAATCTGCATGATTTGTACCCTCTATCATCAATATATTGACTACTACTGCCTATCTACATTTTCTTTGGTAGGTAGAATCATGGGAAATATATGAATGCAAATATTACAGAATAATCCAGATACTTATGTTTGTCTGGTGCCTTCTAATAAGTTCAGACAAGACAAGACTGAAAAGGAGATTCTTCGAAAGCATGTCTGATATTCAACTTGCTTTTATTCTGTGCAGGTTGTGCTCTGCATCTTATGTGAGAACTCAACCATATATTACAATTCATAGCTAAATTCTGCAAGAAAGAGGAAAAAGAACTCACACATTGATTGCACTGGGACACTCCACTATTTATCAGTATTTGTTGTTATTTTGCTGACACAAATATCAACTCTATATAAATTATTTTTTCCTGGTATTCAGAAATGCATTCTAGATTGACATTTCATTATTATTCTGAAGGTTTTTGAATTTGTTTTCTAAATGAGATAAGGTTGAGGGACTTAAAGATGATAAAGAAATAGGAAAGAAAGATGTAAAATAATCTGCCTTTCCTAGCATATGCAATTGTTAGAATTTATTTATATATTTTCATTTAGTAGTTCTATAAATAGTTTCTTAAGAATATTTTTTAAATTGGGCATTTTTTGCATTACATAAATAAACATCTGTTTAACAGTGTGGCACTATACATCTTCCTTAATTCATGTCCTGCGAACCTAATATAAAAAACAATGCTTTTCCTCCATTTGAATAATTACTTTAAGGTATGTGGAAAGAAACTGAACAGAAAAAAAAAACACAAAACAAAACAAAAACAAACATTCACCAGGAACACTAATTTTATATATGGATTTATTTTTATTTTTATTTTTTTAGCAACAGTGAAGATATTTACTTTGTTCTTCCAGTCAAACTGAATGTGCTAACAGTTGTGAAAATATTAGTGGTGATAGTTGGAATTAACACAGATCTGTAGATATGTGGTAGGTTGACCTTGGCTAGCTGTCAGACCCCACCTAGACACTCTCTCACTCTGTATTCTCATCAACATGGGGGAGGGAGATGAAAAAAACTGATGGGTCAAGATAAAGACAAGGAGATCAATTGCCAGTTAGTATCACAGGTAAAACAGAGTCAAACTAGGGGAAATTGGTTTAATTTATAGCCAATTAATGTAGGTTTGCACAGTGGGAAACAAAGACAAAATGAAACAACACCTTTCCCTTCTTTGTTTGTTTTGTTTTTTTTCTCTGAGGCTCAATTTCTCTCCTTCATTCCCTGCTCCTCCACCTTCCCCCTCTCAAGCAGCACATGGGAGATGGGCATGGGGATTCTGGTCAGTCCATAGCAGCTCCTCTTTGCTGCTCCTTCCACCTCACACTTTTCCTCCCTTCCTGGGTGGATTCTCCATGGACTATAGTTCCTTCAGGACACATCCACCTGCTTCAGCATGGCACAATGTGGATATATGCTCTGCTATGGTTCTCCCTCCACAGTCATCTGGACACCTCCTCCCCTCCTTCTTCTCTGACCTTGGTGCTCACAGGATTCTCACTCTTTTTTCCCCCCTTCCCCCTCACTCCAGCCATGCAGTGTTTTGCCCTTTCTTACATACACTTCCCGCTTGGCTGGGGGGCTCAGCCATGCCCTGCCGAGGGGCTGGTTGGAGCAGTCTGGAACCGGCTGTGCCTTGCAGAGACAGCCCCGGCCTCTCCTCACAGGGGCTGCACCTCAGGCCCCAGAGCGCACATAGCGCAGTGTGTCAAACTACCTGTAAGAAATGAGAAAATGGAGTTACCCTTTCTTTTGCTTCAGTAGTCTTTGGATTTTTGTTTCAATGATGTCTACTTTCCTTCTTTTAGCAACGTATACAACATCCTCATTTACTGTAATGAAGCTGTGCACTTTACATGTGCTGAAGGCCTGACTTGTATGGCCTGTGTTTTCTTACACTTCAATGTATCTGCACTCTATTTTTTTAACTGCTCCTTGCGACAGTAGAAAGCTCCAGATAAAGGATGAGAGATAATTTATATACTCTCTCTTATATTATCATGGTAAATAAATAAATATTCTAAAAATGCTATAGTGACTTAAATACAAGCAAGACACGTATTAATCTGCAATTGTTTGCATATTGCTGTGAATGTCTTCTCAGGTTCTGGAAGTACCTCCTACTTCATTAATTACTTTATTCCAGCAATAAAGATTTGCATGTGTAATACTAAATAAGAAATGAGTGAAATTTAATTATTTGTAAATACAATACAGAAGCTCTGACTTCCAGCTTCCTTTTTTTGAGGGAATATGGATTATAACACCTCTTGGTTTTCATTGCAGAACAACATTTTGAATAAAAGTTTCATGTTAATAGCACACATAAAGATGTAGAAAATCAAAGCTTATCTTGCTTGCTTTGTAGGTTTTTCAGGTCAGCACTGTGAAATAGAAATGAATGAGTGTGATTCAGCTCCCTGCTTGAATGGTGCGGTCTGTCAGAATGATGTCAACAGCTATGATTGTTTTTGCCCTGAAGGTAAGTTGTTCAAAATAATTTATTTTTATTATCTTTGACAATTTTCAGAATTGCCTGCAGTCTGCAAAACATCTTCTTGACAGTCTTCAAAACCATTGTTAGCATTTCCGTCCTATAAAAGTTATTCATTCTTTCCTGAAGTCACATTTGCATCTTTGTCCAGCAAGACACCCAATAAAACAAGCAGGTTCATAAAGAATGGAGACAGATATACTTGTGCTACTTTTTTTCAGATAAAACCTTATGACTTTAGCAAAGTCTGGAGGAGTGAAGAGAACACAAATGTGCAGTACGTGTAATCCACAGAAAATGTAATCAATAAACTTACAAATAAAATATTTCATCCTGATGAAACTAACTTGCAGTTCTGTGACTGAGCATAGCAAGCAAATTACAAGGGCCATAATAATGACTGTAATGTATCTTCAGTACAAAAATCTATTAGAGCTTTCAAAGACAAAAATAATGAGATTTTCAGCACTTTTGGTCTGTTTTTTAAAAAATGTATATTCCTGAGTGTCATCGGAAGTGTATGAAAAAATGACTGGTTTCAAGAAAAAGTAGCTAAAGGAAAAAGTAAAATGCTTTAAAACATTTAAAATTACAGTGTCTTTCACTCACTAGAGATGCTTTCACAAATGGATTTCTTCTGAATATTTGTATATTTCTAAAAAAAATATTTTTAGTTAAAAATAAAGTGAAGTTTGTGATTTATAAACTGGTACTTTGCATTTTAAACTTTCTTACACTTGTTTGATTTTAATCTTCAAATAATACTGTAAGTCAGTATACATCAGTATGGACTGATGGTGGGTTGATTTCATAGCTTAAAGTATCTCAGATATTGATATATTAATACAAGCAGTCTAGTGAAGATTATAAGTACAGAAACTCATCATAAAAGATGATAGTGCTACAAATAATTCTCATAAGAACAGGCTCTGTCATTAGTTTAAATTAGAAGCCAAAACAGATATTGGAAGGCAGTTGAAAATTAAGCTTCGAATATATGAATGTGCTATGTTAGTGTGCCTGAGCATCTTATAGTAAAATAAATCTTGGCATCCACACTGATAATTCTGTGGCTTACTTGTTACCTGTGAGAAATGGGTCTGATTAAACCCTAAATGCAAATAAGAACTGTTACTGTATACATTATTAATGAACTAAGGGTAATTCTAAAGTTTTATGACCTAGGGATCAGTGGAAATTGGTTCCATGGTCAGTTTGAGAAATTATGGGAATATGCCTTGCACTGAGGGTGCTGATAGCTTAGCATTAGTCATGGTCTTCCTGCAGCCATGGCTTGTGACAGCACTAATGACAGTCATTTTGTAGCATGACCATGAATTAGAATACATTTACAAGAGTGTAAAATGTCAGATATTGGAGTGGAGATTCTCCAACAATTTCAAGTACAAAAAAAAATCTGTTTGACTTCTGAGTTTGCTAGAAGACACAAAAAAACAAATAGAGAAAAAGTAGAGAAGTAACTATTTGAGAGCTGATTTTTAAAGCTATAATAAGATGGCCAAATCTCAGCATCACTTACCTTTGGCAAAATAGCAGAAGAAACAGAGATTCTTATGTCTTTGCTAAACAAAAAGTTCGACTACATTAATGTAAACACTGAATCGTAAATTTTTTCTTTCAATTACTAACTCCTTTTAAAGTATATTTGATGATTAAATTTATTCCTATTAATGACAGAGCAGAACCAGCTTCTAGAAAGAAGTTTCAATAACACTTCCAGATAATTTTATTACCAAAGTAAATTGAAAACTATCTATCTTTTAGAAAAATGGACCCAAAGGCATGTTTTAGGGAAAAAAAAAAAATAATAAATGGTACAGATAAAGCTGAATACTACATAGCTTTTTGGGTTTTTTCCAACCAAGGATTTGAAGGTCTGAACTGTGAAATCAACTTTGATGAGTGCACCTACGGGTTCTGCAAAAGCAATTCAACTTGTTTAGACCTGATTGCAGACTACAGCTGTGTTTGTCCTCCAGGATTCACTGGTAAGATTAATTTTAACTCTGGAAAATACATTAAATAGTTACACTTTTTATTTCCTTTTTTAAAAATGAAAACAAACTCTTTTTAATTGCATTTTGTTCAGTATTTTACCATTAATAAAAATAAATCCAACTCAGTATTCTGTGCTATTAATAATCTGCTTTAATTTCCCTACTAATACGATAAAAATTGAAAGCAATGTGTATGTTGTTTGATTAACTGATGGAAAGCAAAACTGTATTTTGCCTAGAAAAAAAGTCTTCCAAAAACTCCAAGCCTAGGAAAAATACTTTAACAATGACACCTCTAGCTGGTGCTCCTTGTCTTCATGAGATAATATCACAGCCATACTTGATTGAGATATAAATGAAAATACAATTTTAGCAAGAGGACACTTCACTGTCATCAAGAAAGATACCATCAAACCATTAGGATAAATAGCTTGTAAATGGCACAGTTATTTGTGTGTCTAACAGGTTTAAGAAAATAGCTATTAAATCAGAAGCAGTCTTCATGGCCCTGCTTTCTGCCAGAAGCAGCTAACAGGATCATGGGGAAATCAATAAAACTGTCTCAAAAATAAGCCATCTTAGCAACTAATATGCTGTGATGTCAGCGACTGGAACACACAGGCTTTCAGCTGCTGATTTCAGAGAGGCAAATGGAGCAGCATAAGTCATAAGCAGTAACGGGAAGACAAGTAGTGGCAAACACAGTTAGTGGGTGTTGTATTAAAATGCCAAACAAATATGTCCAAACAGTCCAAAATCTGTGGTGACCAATGGAGAAGAAAGAAAAAAATGAAAGAGATATATTATGGAGAAAAGAAAGGTTGAAGAAGCAAGTAGAGCAGTAAAGGATGAGGAGGCAAAATTAAGTTAGAAGTAAATGGAACCTTTCAGGTTGATAGTAACACCAGTGACATCCAGTTTAGGAGCACTTCATACATATTTTATCAATGGTTAAAAAAAGGCAGATGGGAGATAAGGAATCTAAGATGATACATGGAGATGTAGAATCTGTGAAAATTTTAGCAGTTACAGGTCCCAACGAAATCTGTGATTTTGCTTGATTCATGCCAGCATACTCTAATATTATTCAGCTTTACAGAACTGAGATGTGCTCTATTTCCTACAAGACCATATTCTCCTTTTCTTCTTTCTTTGATAACTGGCTTTGTTGTTACAAGTTTGTATAGTTTACATCTATTTTATGTCAATCATGAAAATAAAGGAGGTGATTACCAAGTATTTGTTCATATAAATAGAAGCATTTTAATGCAATAATTTTATACGAAGGAGCTTTAAAAACATACTGCTATACTGCAAGGATCAAAATGGAAAACATCTAACTTTTTTGTAGTGAGTTGCAAACAGTCTGTTTGAACTAGGGAATGCAGGAAAAGCTGTTCCTTTGAAAATACAGCTGCACTATTTGGGATATGATGGAATCCACATTACAGAACCAGAAATATAATCTAACATGTGGGTGTCACAAAGGTAGCCTGGAACAGGGTAAGTTCTCCTTAGGACAAACTCTTTATCCTATATTCATACTGATGCAAACTGTTTGCCAATAATTAATCTGTTCATTCCACAATGAAACAGTTACCAGTGAGTTATGGGCAGATTTTAATAGATACCTTGAAGCTCACATTGTCTTTAGTTCAACTCATGCCCTCATGAGGCAAAAGTTTACACCTTTTTCTGTGCTTTAAAAAAGTTATTGCTGTGCATTCTTTTTTCAGTAAGCCTGTAAAAACTGTTCTATTTTAGGCAGCTTTTGACTGATTTGGATGTTTTTAGTCTGGACCTCTGCACAGTTTAAAGCCACTGAGCCATTCAATTTTCCATTCTGTGCTAATCTTCTCCAGTCCTTTTCTTAGCAATTCTAAGGAAAGAATTTACCTGAGAAATCTAGTGGTGCTTGCCCATCTTCAGAGTCAGTCACAGATACTTAGTCTCACCTGCATCTCATGCATCACGTTTTTGTTCCACGTCAAGGGCCCTTACAGAAGCAGACCAAAAGCCAGGTATTCTTTTCTCTGATGTCCCCTAATAACCAGCTTCATATAAACAACATACCTGTATTTGATCTCTAGTCAGAGTGCTAACCTGTATCTGATCTCCAGTCAGAGTGCTAAAGTTTTTCAAACCAGCAACAAACAAACAAACAAACAAAAAAACCCACACCAAGATGCTGTTGTACAAACTAAAAGAAAATTAAACCAAATGAAGCAAGATCCACCTTGCCACTAGAAAAGCCCCGAGGCCTCTGGTGTTGGCTTTACCTCAAACCTGTGGTCTGAGACAAAACCATATGTACTGGGCTACAGGGCTGCAGTGGTGATAGTGGGGACATTACCCCACAGCTTGACTCAATTCACTTAAAGACTAGGTTGACAGGAGACTATTGCATGTCCAGATCTAAGGAGTCTTGAGGCAGGAGGGGAAATGTGTTAAATGCAGAGGGACATTTTTAAAGCTGTTTATGAAACTTTTATTAAAAGAATTATTTTTTTCCTCAGCACTTTTGCAGTCAGGATTCTGCAGGCACTTTTGCAAGCAACAACATTGCATAGATTATTTGCTCTGGTAACAGCAGAGTAGCTCCTGACAACCACTTTTCCTGAGTACCTGCAGAACCTCCCAAAACAGGACATAGCCAGTCCACAAAATTACAATGATGTTACAGACCCCAGCTGCCCTGGGGTGGGCTATTGCTGTCACAGAAGTATATCTGGCTCACAAAATTGTCTTGAAGTTGTACCCAAAAATTCCCACAGAAGGCTACAGGATGAATCAATTTATTCTGGAAGTCTTCTAACAATTCGTAGATGGCTGGTTGTACGCACTACATTAGGTCTGTATACCAGAAGGCAGCTGATGTTGCCCATTAGCCATTTTGTACTGAATCTAATTACTTAGTTTTGATTAAAGCATACGTTGAATTCAAAAACATCCAATCCTGATTTGAATTCATAAAGAGAAGCCAGAATTTCACTGGCATTTTTTACTAGTAGTAATCACCACCAGATTTAGAAGTTTATATTAAATATTTTATTTAAATTTTTTCCTTCAACTTCGAGCTATTTAGTTTCATTACCTTTTCTACACAAAATGAAAAAAACCTTTTTACTACTCAAGTATTTTCACTTTGTAAAGACACTTATACACTGTAATCAAGTCACTTCTTATTTTTGTTTGTTCTAAATGAACCAGATGGAGCTCTTTAAGCCTTTGCCGACAGCACACTTCCTTCAGTTGTTGAATAGCTTTCCTGCATCCTTCCCACATATTTTTAAATATGGAGCATTGCAGCCAATATTTTATGCAGAGGTATTTTACACATCAATAGTCCTTCTTGGTTTTAAAAATAAATTTGAGATTTTTTTTTTAATTTTTTTTTTTTTTTTGTTACAGCGCTGCAATAGCATTATATGCTAAGGTCCTCAGTAGTCCTTTTCAGGTCACTTTTTTTGTTTCCTCACATACAGTTGAGCTACAGTTCAGTAGGTATAACCGACATGTCTTTTTCTTTGTATCTGGCAGCTGCAAGCGACAAGACGTGATCTGCAGTAAACTGGAAAATTACTGCTTAACTAAACAACAGTTATCATGAGTTCAGTTAGTGCATATGGTTGCTGTCTTGTAGCCGGGAGATAAAAGATAGGAAGTGAGAATGGAAATGCAGAGTTTGTCTAAAAGTCAGTGTTGAAATAACAAAGTAAGGGTTTTTCACATTCACCTAGAGAAAGAGAGGTTCAGGGAAGTATCAAGTGGCTCATTTGCCTCCTTACAATTTTCTCATGAGAAATACTTGAGGGGTGAATATTGGCTGAAAGTGGCCAAAGCTGTACTGCTCTTTTTGTAGAAGCACGACTTTCGACCTTTCCTACTATATTTTAATCATGTACATTTATGGTGTGCATGAATAATGTTTCTGCCTGCTAGTGTTAATATTTTTAGTACATCCTCAGTGTGCTCTGTTTCTTTGGCTACTGCATGTCTGGACTCATTTCTGTCTTATCTGATTAATACAGAAATATTTTAATGGAGAGACAGAGTGGAGATAGAGATTCTGAGAGAAGCACTAGGTTCTGAAGTGGGAGCTCTGTTACCACACACCAAATAATTTAAGAACTTTCCTATCCTATTTTTAATTTCCTAGGCTTTTTAATGTTAATTACTCTTGGTTGTTCCTTACATGACCACAAATTTGGGATACTTGTCCTGCTTTACCCTACCATGAGGCATAGCAAATTTCCAGACAATCCAACTCCTTACAAAAACACAAAAGCTTTTAGACCTTCTGTGTGTGCCCTGAAATTATATAATCATGGCACTAGAAGAAAACACTAAAGATAATCTATTCCAACCTCATCCCAGCAGAAAACATACTATACTGTATAATTCCTGACATGCTTATCTCACCTTAAAAATGTCCAACACCATTCCTTATTTTCCTCAGGCAATCTTTCTAGAATGTTGCTACACTAAGAATTAGAAGGAGTTCCTTGGCATCTAATATGAATTTCACTGCAGTTTAAATGCATTACTTCTTATCCTGTCCGCTATGAACATGGAGAACTAAAGACATTTGCAAAAGCCTTTCCTTATTTTATGAATATCATCACATTTCTATTCAAATATTCCTTATTTAGGATTTACAGCTCAATTCACTTTGTTTTTTCCTAAGGAGTAATGCTTTAAAGTTCTTTGTTTTTCTTGTCTTTCTCATCTGGACTGTCTTAATTTGGTCCACATGTTTCTTGAATACAGCCAAATGCAGCTTGATGAGAATGGAAGAATTACTTTATGTTTCTAAGTGTCTGTGTTCCTTTTTCTATATCCCAGTATACTATTTGATTTGGAACAAAATTCTGAGTTTTGTTCCTACTTAACCTGTGATTTGCTGTATTATGATACCTTCCTCTTGTTCTGAGTGGATAACATTTATTATTTAAAATTTTATCTCCCATTTGTCAAAATTTATGAAGACTTCTAATCCTGTCCTTCAATGTACCTTTTTGTTTTGCCACCAGTAAGCTTATTCTTCTGTCCACCATCCAGATTGTTGTTTGAAAAATAGAGTGGAATTAGATGGACAGTAGAGCTCTCTCAAAATCTGTAGAGTTCATTCATCCATTTTGGTAGTAAACCCACTGATAACCAATGCAGAAATTAGGCTTTCCAACAGTTTTTATTCATCTGATAATATTAACTTGTAATTCATACATAATCCAATTACTAGAATTTCACATGAGACAGCAGTAGAACCTTTAATGAAGTTAAGGAATCTTACATATGTTCTCACAAATAATGAATTTTGTAACTTTCTCCCATATTTCTTTCAGGAACGGAAATTACACAAATGGATCAGTAGCTTCAAAGCTCTTTTATTCCTTTTTAAAGGTTTACTTTATTGAGCGCTCTAGTACTTTACCCATCTTCCACAAGTTCACAGAGAAAACTGCTGAGTTTTTATCAATCAGCTCTTGAAGCACCAAAAGTTGAAGTTCATCAGACTAGCCTATCTGAACATCTAACTCATCTGACAACTCTCCATCCTGCCTTTTCTATTCAACATGGAAGTTTTGCCCTTTAATTGCAGCTATCAGTTATCATGATCTGCTTGCTGCTGACCTTTTTGCTGATGATTGAAGAAAAAGAAGTGTTGAATAATTTGGCATTATTACCATCATCAGTACCCATCCCTCCCAATTGAATGGCAAACCATAAGTACCTATGACATGATTTCTCATTACCCTGACTGTGCCATGGTAGTTACATCTTAGTCAGTGCCTTTGTTGATCTAATTTCATGCCTACATACTTATGCTCCTTAGGTTATCATTAGTAACCTGACCTATTTTTTGTTATTTAGGCATTTTCATACTTTGAAAAACAGGAAGTGCTACTTTGGCCTTCTAATTTTTCCCAACAAAAAAGATAGCTTGTCCTGGTGTACTTAAAAAAAAAAAAAAAAAAAAAAAAAAGCAATAACTTTCTTAATTATCTTTTTATTTTAGTTCACCCTCTTATCAGGTTTTATATCAGAAATTTTCTACATTCTTTGCAGGTTTTCTGAATTTCTTTGGTTCTGTGTTGTTCGCCCCCTCTCGTCTCCCCTCCCACAGACATCGATTTATCTCACTCAAGTTCTTCATTTTCCTTTCTTCATATTCAGAGATTACTGTTCCCTTTTACTTAGAATCAAATCCCAGAAAATCTTTGGTGTTGTCTTTTCCACTACTGCAGGAAAAAAATCTTTGTGTTTATGAATTATGATTACTTTCCAAAATTTTGTTTTCCAGTAGTTTCTGGATAGAATACCAATTACCATTTTGCTCACTCACATCTGTGACAGCTATGGTTTTCCCTCTGTGTCTCTGAAATAGCTTCTGGTATTCAAGGGAGCTTTAAATCTCTACAATTGTCCCTTGACTTTCAATCAATTTTGGATTAGAAAGATCCCAGTATAATTTATATCAGGCTAGATCTTGGTCTAAATTAATGCAGTGCACAATAAACAGATAAGGGACTATGGATTTTGCTTGGTATACCAAATGGATAAGTAACCTATTATATTATCTTCTACATATTCTCCTCTATATGTCTTTTTTATGTTCCCCTTTATTTTTTGTTTGTTGTTTTTTTTTCAGTTTTGAATTAATTTGAGTCGCAGCTCGATTAACTCTCTTAAATGAAAAAAAAAGAAAGAAAAATCTGAGGGAATTTGTGGTTTTCTGTTGAGATCTAAGATGTGGTTTTATTCCTCTGAATGTGGCAACAACCATGAGACATTTTTCTTATTATTGTTAGTGAGGTTATTAAATATCTAAAGTAGTTTTAAAACTGTGGCATATAATTTTTAAATTATGACGTTGAGATGTAATGCTAGAATACACAAAGAATATATTTGCAAATGTAGCTGATACTTATTCTTCTAAAATATTTAATTTGCTATCAGCAATGATCTATTAATATCTCTGGTATTAAAGCCATCAAGCAGAAATAAAATAGTGTTTCCAACCTGGAAATTTAAATTATGCAGTTGTCGCTTGAACTGTGAAGTAGCTTTTCTGCTCTCCCAAACCTAGCATGATTTATAGTTCTAATGTTTCATTTTCTTTTCTGTCAGACAAAAACTGTTCCACGGCTATTGATGAATGTTCCTTCAAGCCCTGCAAAAATGGAGGCCATTGCCATGATTTGACTGGTGAATTTTACTGTAGCTGTTTGCCAGGTAAGAAGTCAGGTGATACTTAGGTGAGAGATTTTCTATGGTATTTGAGAAAGAAAAACAGTTTTTCATAAGCAAACAACTAAGTAGTCATTTATTTTGCTTGAAAAGACAGACTGAGCAGGTATTCTTGAAGCAGACTCTACAATGCTACCTACTATGCTGGTAGTGTCATCAAGGGACATTAAAGATCATCTAGGTCCAACCACACCCTGCACTGGCAGAGACACTTCCCACTAGACCACATTGCTCCAAACCCCATCCAGCCTGCCCTTGAACACTTCCAGGGACGCAGCTTCCACAACTTCCCTGGGCAACCTGTTCCAGTGTCTCATCATCCTCACACTAAAGAATTTCTTCCTAATAACTAATCTAAATCTCCCCTCCTCCAGTTTTAATCCATTACCTTTCATCCTATCACTACACACCCTCATAAAAAGTCCCTCCCCACCTTTCCTGTAGGCCCCTTCAGGTACTGGAAGATTTTCCTAAGGACTCCCTGGTGCCTTCTCCTCTTCAGGCTGAACAATCCCAGCTCTCTCTGCCTGTCTTCACAAGACAGGTGCCCCAGCCCTTGCATCATCTTTGTGGCCCTCCTCTGGACTCTCTCATGGAGCTCCATGTCTTTCTTATGCTGGGGGCTTGAGAACTGGACACAGTAGTCCAGGTGGCATCTCATCAGAGCCAAGGAAAGGAGGAGAATCACCTGCTAAAATTTTGGACTGTTCCACATAAAAGAACTTTTAACAGATGACATTTCTAAATCTGTTGCCATAGGGTGTGATGTAGATGGACAATTTTCATTAGAAGGTTGGAAGGGGTTTAGACAAATTCACAACCAAAAAGGCTGTAAGTGGATACAAAAGGATCTTCTGACTTCTTTTAACACTCCTGAATGCTTGCAGATTTCAAGGAGAACAGAATGGTGGAAGTGGCTAATCTAATATGCTCTCCCTAAATAACTCTCCTATTGCTGCCTTTGAACTGACCACACAGGATGTTACTTAAATTGTTGCAGGATGTTCTCATGTTTTTGTCTTTTACAAAACATTACTTCTAGTTAACAGCTTCTTTCCCATCCCTGTTCATGCCTCAGTGATGTATTATCCCTGCTACACCTAACTGAATACACACTTTTTTTTATTATTTTTTTTAAGTGGGATTAGTGCACGATTAGCATGATTGCCAAAGTAGGCAGATTTTGAAACAGAAAATCCTGTAAGTAGAGATGCCTGTATTGATGGATTCAACCTAGAATCAATTTTTGTTCAGCTTAATACATTGAATCAAAGGAGCAGTACTTCTGATTAAGAGTAAACTCACACACAGAAAAATTGTAAATCAAATTCTTCTTTTTGGGAGATTCACTGTTATTAAAGTTTACTGTACCATGAAATAAGACTGCACTTCTTTCAAACGTTTTTGGCATCCCTTATTATGAAGTAAAAGCTTACACATGAAAGTTTTCACTCCAGGGAAAACCTTAGGAAAAATGGTTCATGCTGTGACTCAAAAAAAGAAAAAAAAAAGTGAATCATCAAGATTACAGATGGGAAATATGTAGGAAATCACTCAGCCCTTCACACTCTTTCTGCACAATCACGCTTAACATAGAATCTGTAATTATTGTTTTTTTGCTTTGATTTCAAAGATGCTGGATAAGAGAGTTTAATATGTCTTACATGGAACTTGCTCAGCTTACTGAAATTATTTTTGTAAATGCATAATTTACAATTCATATTATCAATTTCTTGCTCCAAGTTACAATTAATTTATACAATTTGAAAGTAATGTATTTTTCTTATACCTCTAACTTATACTGTGACAGCATTCTTACTAAAGAAGCCTGTCTATTCTATTCTATTCTATTCTATTCTATTCTATTCTATTCTATTCTATTCTATTCTATTCTATTCTATTCTATTCTATTCTATGTAACCCTGCCTATTTACAGTTACCATACAGAGGCAAGTACATGAAGCTTTTACTTCTGCCGCATAAGCTAGCTCTAAGCATGCAGGGACTAGAAGAATAATGAGTAATTCCCATTTCCCTATTATATTGTCAGACATAGGTGGCCAGAAAAAGGCAGTCATGATCAAAGAACATGGTTTGAGTATTTTTATAATACGTTTTTTTCAATATACCTCCCTAAACCTACCTTGGCTATTGCACAAAACAGCTATGCAAGACAGTTACTTAAAGGAAAATTAAGCAAGTAATATAAGCATCCCACTTAAGAGATTCCATAATGATGAGAAATGAGGCATTTTTTAGTAAGCATGAACACTGGTACTTTTGCCTTACCAAAAAAGAACAAACCCGGTATATACCTGCATGAGGTGAGGAATAAGGATGTATAATCATAGAATCATAGAATCTTAGGGGCTGGAAGGGACCTAGACTAGATCATCTAGTCCAACCCCCCCTGCCACAGCAGGGGCACCTAGAGTACATCACACAGGACCTCATCCAGGTGGGTTTTGAATGTCTCCAGTGAAGGAGACTCCACAACCTCTCTGGGCAGCCTGTTCCAGTGCTCTGTCACTCTTACAGTAAAAAAAATTTTTTTTGGATATTCACCTTGAACCTCCTATGCTCCAATTTGCACCCATTCCCCCTTGTCCTATCACTGGTCATCACTGAGAAAAGCCTAACTCCATCCCCCTGACACTCACCCCTTACATATTTGTAAACATTGATGAGGTCACCCCTCAGTCTCCTTTTCTCCAAGCTAAAGAGACCCAGCTCCCTCAGCCTTTCCTCATAAGGGAGATGTTCCACTCCCTTAATCATCTTTGTAGCTCTGCGCTGAACTCTTTCGAGCAGTTCCCTGTCCTTCTTGAACAGAGGGGCCCAGAACTGTTCACAATACTCCAGATGAGGCCTCACAAATGTAGAATAGAAAGCATGCACACCAATGCTCACATACACAATTTTCATTTTTTTTGTGGTGTTTTGGGGGTTTTTGTGTTTGTTTTGTGGTGGGTTTTTTTGTTAGATCTTTTGTTTTGAAGAGTTCTAAAGCCTGAGTTTTAATCTACCTGTTGGTCTGCTCAGTCTTTCACATGGATGCAATCTCTGGCACCCCTCCATCTTCTTCTCCTGATATTAGAAACACAGATAAAAGTTCTTTTCAGAAAACACCTAAAATTTTAGTCAATATGCTTAAAATCATAGTGTTTGTAAAGCAGTTAAAGTGATAATCAAACTATGCCCTTTTTCCAAAATTCCTATGCTCTATCTAGTAAACATAAAATATATGTGCTTGGTTTATATGTTTAACAATTTTTTATTCCTAAATTTCTGTTTCTGGAAAGTAGATAACTAATAATTTGTCCAATACATGTCTAAATATATTCAAATTTCTAATCATGGATGTGCTGTGTTGTTTAGCAATCTTCAATTCAAAAAAAGAAATCTGTAGTGTATTGATACAGAAAATAAAAAAACAGAATTGTTCTATTTCCAATTCCTTAGCAATACTAACATTCCTCATTTTGAACAGCATTTATTATTTATTTTGAAAATTTCATACAACTGTTTATTTCTTCAACTATGCTCTTTTTTTCCTGTTTTTGCCCTTTCCTCCCCTTCTATAAAATAGCCTCCTTTTTCAACAATTCATTGTCAAATTAATTTTCTTCTGGTTCTGCAATATACTGAAAAATAATTAACATTTGATCACTTTTCATTTTCTGTGGCACTGTTTGGATTAGTAAGGAGTAAAAATATTGTATAAAACTCTTGACATTGTCAGCTACTAAAATTGTCTGGCCTGACCTTGAGCAAAATCCATAGCTCTTGCCTTATGGGTTTTAATCTACCTTTCTGCACACACACACTTACCTGTTACTAGCAACAATCCAGGGTTTTTTCCCAGCTTTTCTGGTATCATGTGGTGTTCTAATCTCATATGAAATGAAGTATTATATTTGGATCCTATTTTAGTTTTGAAAATTACAAAAGATAAACTAGAAAATACATGATGGATGAAAGAGAATGTCTGTGTGCTTTCTCTCTTTCCAACAGGTTGCTTTATCAGCAAATTCTAAGAAATAGTTCGACCCCCAAATGTTGTGTATTATCTGCTAAGCTTAATACCATGAATGACATGAATAGCAGGCTAGTGTATAGGGTTTTTTTCATTATCTTATTCACCTTCCTGGATTTTACTTCAACAGATCTTTACAGTCCTGAGGAAATGCATGCCCAACTTTATGTTGCACTTCAGAAACCATTCTCTTTTTAAGTAAAGACACAACTTACTTTCTGTAACAAATTTAATTTTTCTCTAAAACAAGAATACTGCAATGAAGAACTCTTTATTTAATCCAGTGTCAGGCCACACTATAGGGAACAGCTCATCCTCTTATCTCCTTACTCTTGTCACATGAATTCTGAAAGGCAAGAAACAGCTCTGATATGGGACTGATGAAGAATAGCAACTGCCCACTGCTTGTGTTGATTTTACTGGAAGCTTTATATTCATTGTTCTTTTTTTTTCAGAGGTATTAAGCTGAGTTAAATTTTGTGTAAATATCAGGAGTTAGAAAATATATATTAATTATAACTGTTGTTGTTTATATTCTTATTATCACTTTTGTTTAAAAACATCAGTCATCACATATATTTAGTTTCTATTGAAATTCAGAGGTGTTTATTTCTAAGAAATATTATATTTTTTGAAATTATATAGACCTGTCAAATAAATATAAGCTTTGAGGACACACAAAAAAATAATATGTAAATTTTCTCTATCAATCTCCATTACTGGTTTTAAGGAAGTACTGTTTTGAATTGTGTACTCCACTGAGGGAAAGAAAGAGTTATTTCTCCTCATTAAATCTTCATTCTTTCCACTATCAACTCTTCCCATTCATTTCCAGAAAAAAATGTATTATCACAATAGACACAATGGAAAAAGATTTTTATGGTGATACACATAGAGGTAAGACTATCAATAATGAAGAAGTGTTGGATATGTAAGAAACAATATTAAC